TGGCACCAATTTGGTTTGAACCGGTGCTATATCTATTAAACTAAATCTTGCCTTGTTTTTTTCCCACCGGTTTTTAAGAACTGGTATCAATTTCTCGGTACCAATTTGTGTTTTTCTACTAGTGGTAATACCTTTTGATTAACTTGTAGCCAACAATGGTGTATTTTCTAAAGACTAATACTACTAGAAACTGTTGATTTCAGGACCTGATTGGAAACAAGATATTGCTGAATTTTTTTAGAGCATCCCGAAGCATTAATATCATAGTGTAGTCTGGTAAACTAGTTGAGCTAAACATATATTTTGGATTCCAATGAATGATTATTATGTATTACTTTTGATAATCATTAATTAACTTGTGTTTTAATTTGATGTAATTATAAGCTTTCTTTTTTTATTTTAATTTTGAGTCTTTTTTAATCCTATCCCCACCCCAAGCACTGTTGGGCAACATGTTCATTTGCTTGCTTACCATGTACATGTGTACTACATATTTGCTAACTTGTCTTGCTATCAATCTTTTAATTGTATGGATAATCAACATCCCAAGTACATTGTGCCCCATAATTTCTAGTTTGGCATGTCCAGACCCATTGAGCTTTGTTGATTGCATTAAACATTTCCCTTAGTGAGTTTTCTCATTGATTGCATTGACACCTAACTGCACGCTGGACAGGGAAATATGTGAACAGAGAAATTTTTGCTTGATCTTGAATGAAACCATTGAACCAGAATTTAGCTAATGATTGGTTTAGTTAGCAAGTATAATAGATCATTGTGAATTGAGAGCTTGGTTTAAACTTTCTTATGTCTTGTTTTCATATGATCATAGCTCTACTTTATCAACATTGATCTCATTATGAGAAATAAATCAGCTATCTCTACAAGTAAATAGAAATGAATATAAAGTTTATAAAACAAACTAAGCTAAACCTATTAGCTCAAATGGTAGAACACTATGCACATGCATAGAGGTGTAGGTTCGATTTATACATAGGTTATCTTTAAAAGTAAATATAAAACACTCCAAAGTTATTCAAAACTAGATTGTATCCGTGCTAACAAATGGTATATAAGATGTGGAAGTTATTAGGAAAAAAAATGAAGTGGAAGTTATTTAATTGGAGGTTATAACAACACCAAGAAAAAAAAAAGAAAAAAAACTCTAATGCATGAGTTTTGAGAATTTGGCTTTTAAAGGGTTGTGGTTAAATCACTCTACAACTATATAAAACATACCTCAAAAGTAAGTTAAAAATAACCAAAAAGTAAATCAACTTGGCTTAAAGGTGTATTGAAAATTACTTAATAGAGTAATTCAACATAATTAATAGAGCTAGTATATAAAACATTCATAGTAAAGAAAAATTACTTAAATGTTACTCAAAATATGTTAAAATTAATTAAACTGATATATCAAAGTAGGCTAAGCTAGTATATATTAAACATTCGAAGTAAAGGAAAGTAAATAAAAAAATGTTATAAGTAAATAAAATAATCGCAGAAGTAATATATATATGTATTTATATAGGTAGGACAACAGAGGAGTTGAAGGCACCAAAACATGGCTCAAGAAAAATTAAATAGGGCATATGAGATGTAAAACTTAATACATCCAGAAGATATAGCAACACATCATCACACCCCTCACCTCACATGCTGCCTGCCTCAAGTACCTTGCAACCCACCACATATATGCCCAATTCAACTTCCTAACCCACTCAACAACAACAACCAGCAACACATTGTTACATTGCTTCCATTATTAGCTGACGTGTTTGGTTATCATCATCAAGGGGTGTTACATATACCTTGCCTCCCTGAAAATTTTCAAAAAATTATAGGTAAGCTATATAAGAAAAGATAGATATCTTGTATTATACTATGGTATATATTAATCTTATTGGGTGCTACTCGTATATTATTACTACTATGTTTTGTAAAATAAGCTAGATTGATGTATGTCACTTGTTTGAATTGGTTTTCCAGTTCAATTTCTAGCTATTTTGCTCTAACGTTATATCGTCAGATCACATAGTATAATACATAGAGTTCTAGCTAGGTTGAAATTATAAACTACTTTATACCAGATCGATTTTTGGTTTTGAGAGGTTGATGATGTATTTAAAAATATGTTAAACCAATGAAAAACTCAAAAGTAAATTAAAATATGTTAAAAGATAATAAAAATGTTTCAAAAGTAAATAAAAATAAAAATAAAAATCCTATGAAATTAAAACAAAGAAAGAGGTATTCTGCTAGTAGTCTAATCCCTACATGCTTGCCTTATAGGGATTTCACCACTTTCAATCTGCACATTCATGAATCATTTATCTCCACATATGCAAGCAGAAATCTAAGGGAAATGTATATGAATTGAGGGTGAAGTAAAGATTTTCAATGTAAAAGTAAATAAATCAATGTAAAAAGTATATAATTTTATTAATTTGGTAAAAAACTAATCATAAACAGATATATATACAACTAATAAATAAACCTACATGGGAATCGAACCCATATCCTTTGTACATTTGTACAATGCTCTACCAATTGAGCTAGTAGGCTAGTATATATTATAAATTGGAAGTAAAAGTAAATTAATATACCTCAAAAGTAAATAAAAAAACGCTAAAATGTAAATAAAAACATCATTAAAGTAAATAAATTATAATATTACTTTTGCTCATGCTTCAGGTGCTCCTCATGACTGGCTTCTTAGGTGTACAGGCTGCACTCTTGCTCACAGCAGCTTCTCGTTTTGCCCTACTCTAAGAACTCCCGAGTAACATGTACAGAAGCAGAGCAGAAGTAGCATAGCAATAACAGACAGCAGAGCAGAAATGGCATAGAAACATCAATCTTGTGGGCTAATGTCCACTACTACTCTAAGTGACATTGTGAATGAATGTTAGAAATTTTTTTTTGGCCTATATACAATCCAGTACTACTAGTATCTTGTGGGTTAAAGTGGTTAAAGTGAAATCCAAAAATTCAACTCTTATTGTTTTCTGTAGGGACAAATCAGTTGTGTGATCAAATGACACAATTGCTTCAGCAGGCATAAATATCTCGCTTTTCCATATGCTAATCCATCTTGGTCTTTTGATTTATTTTTGTCATAGGATCTATAGCACAAACACAATAAAATAGAAGGTAGCTTCATTTTGGATGTTAGTTGATCTTATGTAAGTCATAAAGACTGCTATAGAATAACATATTATCAAGGGCTATTCAAATGCTAGATGATCTGATTCTTTCATTTTAGTTTACAATTTTATATAGAGATAATGATAGTACAAAGAAAGCTAAGGAAGAAACTTGTAACACCCCAATAATTATCTCTTTAAACCTATGAGGACCCTGAACAATATTCAAGAGTATTACTAGCGTACTACTGCCACTTGTTCAAACGTTAAGGCTTTATATAAAAATAACAGTGGAAAAACTAAATCAATTATAAATAAGTTTCAAAACCAATAACCAAAACCAAATTAAATCATACAACTTGGAACCATTAAGGCCCTTATTCAAAACTCAAACCAATAGAAGTAGTAAGAAAGAAAAATTAAGTTTAAAAAACATCAAAAGTAAATAACAATAAAAATGAGAAAAGCAACCAACACTCCACTCAAGCTCCCACCACCTAGATACGGATGTTGCATGTGTAAGAACCTGTGGTTAATCTGCTCCCCAATATTACAAGTGTAAAAATTGGATCGTCACAGGGTCATTGAAAGGCGAAGCTTATGACCAAGAAAGACACACGAAACACATGATCAGCAAAGCTGAGTACAAGCAAGCTGCGAAACATAAGAAGAAATCCCTAGCTACTAATAATCAATCATCACACATCATTAATTTGTAGACTCCACACATGATTCGACTATCAATTTACTAAGACTCCACTATCTAAAAGTAGTTACCTCATCATTTTTATTCATTGGATTAAGCAATAGACCAACCCATGCTCTATTTGGAACATCAATAAAAGAAAACCCCATGACTCCTTTAGGAAACATCAATAAAACATCCAACGACTACGGGCGCGAGTCCGTGACCGTAGCTAGTATGCGATCTCATCTAACTCCTAATTTTGAAAAGTATTTGAAATAAGATACTCGTAGATAAGATAGCCTCGAGAAAAGTGCACGACAAATAACCCGTGTACCCCAACCCCTAATTGTCAATACTTCAGATGTGTACAAATCTCGAGTTTTATTGCTCATCCATCTTGCACTTTACGTGATTTACAAGTTTAGACATTGTGATGACTCATTTGCAAACAACACAATCAATCCATTATCAATTCAATCAAGTAAAACAAACTTTCAAATTTCAATTCTTGATTTATTAGTGATAAGCAGCATTTATTATTAAATCCTTTAACTACCTCAGTGTATAAACACCTTGAGTGCATAAGGCACCCCACAAACTTAACCTCATCATATAAGACTTAAATTCTTCCTTTACTCATTCTGTTTCCATAATCATGAATGACTAATAATTAATTATTTCACCAATCACATACCTCTACCTCTAAGCGCATCTTGCATATTTATAGCATAAACAATACTTGCAATATAGAATAGTGCACGTCATACGAAATTCACAATGTATAACCAAACAATTTAACCAAGTCATCCTTACACACACTACTACAAAATAGGCAATATAGAACGCCCGGAATAGGCAATATAGAACGCTTTAGAGGCGTCCTTCAAGTGGGGTGCCTTATATTGTATACATGACGCCTATTTGAGGCGTTTTATATCTAATACAATACTAAACGCCTATCTTGGATAGGCGATTATTATTCTATGTACAAAACATATAAAAATCAAAGAAAAGAGAACTGTCAACATTCGAAAGGCGTTCTATATTTGATAAAAAAAAAGGGGAGCGCCTATCTTAGATATGCGTTCTCTTTTCTAATTTTTTATTTAAAAAAATAATATTATTATTTTTATCATAATAATAATAATAATAATATCTACATTCTGTAAATAAAAGTCGATATGATACATTAAAATTAAACTACAAATTACAATATCTTTTTTTTTGATAAAATTTGACAAAATTAGCTAACTGATACATTTAAGCTACAACACACATAGGATACCATCATCGTTTAATTAGAATACCATCATCGTTTAATTAGAAACTCAATGAGTTACCTTGTGATCATCATCCGCCAATTAACATCCTGAGAAAAAAAAATTATTAGCATAAATCAAGCAGCAAACCAAATATTTAAGATTCAATCACGAAGAACTACAAAATAAATGTCACCAAAATCATCAAACATGCTAATTTACAGAACATAAAACATGCTAACTTACTAGAACATAATCAAATTTCAAATTAAAAAACATAATCGAACTTCTACTAAAATTTTAATTTGATCATTTACAAGAACAAAATCGAAATTAAAAAAAAATACAGATGCACAAAAATCAGTCGAAATAAACTAATACAGTAAATTCTAGCCCAAATAATCCGATAGAAATATTACAACCCAGTTATCATAGAAACCCAGGAAAAAGACCAGTTAAACAAAGAAAACCCAGAAAAATAACTAGCAAGCTCATCAATTATAACTGATATGTGATTGTCAACGATGATACGATAAAAATCCTTCCAAAATCAACAAATTCAAATAAAATAAGCAACAATACATACATCTACAAACTATAAAAGACAATTCAACTTTGACAATAATCAATTCCAAATCCAAATTCTACAATGAAAATTGATGCTCATCAAATGAAACCAAATAAAAGAGAAAGAAACTAGCCCATTTGCCGGATCTGACGATTTCAAGGCCAATACCATCGTCAGGGAAGAGTATGGCGGTGATGGGATAGCAGCGGAGAAGGGAGGAGGCGGTGTTGCCTCGCCATTGTTAAAGCCCCAAATCCGGGCTTTTTGTGTGGAGGAAGGAGAAGGGTTTTTTTTGCCATTGAAGGAGGCCGTTAAGGGGAAATAGAGTAAGATCCATGGGAGATTACTAGGTCGAATCGGATGAGAGAGATAGCGGAATTCTATAAGGAGAGGGAAGAGAAAGGAGAGCAATGAACGGCGGTTAGAGCAAATAGGGTTTTGACCTTTTTTTTTTTTAAATACTCCATACCGTAGAACGGTTAACTAAGAAAAATGTTCTATATTGTAAAGCTACAATTTAATAAAAAAAAAAATCAAAAAATCAAACATAACAATTAACTTAGTGAGGCGTTCTATTTGATACAATATACACAACGTTTCTCTACCAAAGGCGTTCTATATAATTTAGAGAACGCTTTTCCAACTTGACAGTTATATATTGAGTGTTACTTTTTCTCATTTTTGTGGTAGTGACATGATAATAAGTTCTCGACCCATCCTTAAACATGCACCTAAAAGCAAGGTTTCGTAACTCGTACGTACCTTATGTAAACAATTCGGTTGGCCACTTTAGAACTAGAAGTCGTCTTCTACAAAGTTCTCTCCTAAACCAAACAATGAGAAATAAATCAATACTCAATCAAATAAATTTACAGGATTACTAAACTACTTTAAAACCTCTTAAATCATCAATATATAGCGTTTATATTGTTCCCATTATCAATAATAATAATATAACATCCCAACTATAAGTTTATATGTTAAAATTATGAAAATATAGTGTATAACATGAAATTCCAGCAACTTTAAAGTAAGTAAATAAATCTTAAATTTTAGTTTAAGTATATAAAATAAACTCATAAACATAATTACTTGAGATAATCGTTATATAGTAGGTTAGTATATTTAAAACCCAAAAATACATCAAATCAATGTAATTAGAGGCTTCAAAATAATAACTTTAAAATCTCAAAATTTATTCTTGATATTAGACTATAAAGTTCAAAACTTTTTAAATCATAAAATACCCACAATAATTATTTATAGGCTTAGAAGCATAAAAAAAACATGAAATTAGCATGACTTGCTCATAAAAATCCAAACTTTAATAATTAGAAAATTTATATATGGTAAAAATAATTACACTTTGATGTAATTTAAACATATAATAATTAGATAACTTAGTTAGTACGTTTCCAATCCCTAAAGCATAAAATTTTAATGTTTAAACCCTAAATTTTATGCATACACAAATCTGAAAATTTATATAATAAATTAAACATGTCAAAACTCATAAATTGATAATCTTTTATAATTTAAACATATTATCAAACCATAATAATATAATTTAGAACAAAATTTTAATTAAATATTGAAACTTTAAACATTATAATAGCAAATAAATAAATAAAAAATAAAGAAAGAGAGAGAGAGATAAAAGGTCAGACTATCAAAGGGGCGGTTGTAGGGTGGCGGCAGCAGGCTGAGCGGTGGTGGTGTTCTCGGGGGCAGCATCTTCAACTTGAGGTTATTGATGAGTGTCATTTATGGGACTCATAGGGTAGTCTTTAAGGATGTTTTCACCCTATTTTCATAGTTTTCTTTTATCATTTTGGTCTTTTCTCCTTTAGTTTCTCTATTTCTTCTTTCTTCGTGTTTTACTTTCCTTAATGTGGTTTTCTTCGTGTTTCCCTTTTATATTGCTCTTTTTCTCTTCAATTTTCTCTCTTTGGTTACTTTTGAAGGTTCTTAAGGAGTTGGCTTCGCAAAGGGGTCAAGAAGAGCAAAAAGGGCTAAGCAAATAAGTATTAAGCTCATAGGAGAGGGCACGGAGAGGGCGCTCTACATTTGCCAATTGTCGCGGGCACAGGTCCTAAGGGCCGCAGGCGCGGATAAAGTGCAGCAAATTGATGATTTTTGGCAGGAACTCTCCGCGCCCTAGACGCGGTCTAGCCACGGGCGCGGAGATTCTGGAGAGATCGTTCCCTTTAGAGAGACCGTGACCCCCTGTTTACACTTGGGAATAGGGCATCTGCTGCGCCCTTAGCCGCGGGTGCGTGGGTCTTGCCTAGATTGCTCGCGGAGTTCGTTATTTGTTTCGTACCAATTTCTCCGCTCCCGCGGGATGTTCTTCGAGAGGGCGCGGCCGATCAGTTTTTCTTCTTTGTCTATAAATACTCTTGTAATTCCTTTAGAAGGCTAACTTTTAGATAATCTTTCATTTGCTTAGTTTTTAGAGAGAGAAACTAGAGAGAAGTTAGAGAGAAAGTAGAGATTGGAATTCTTGGATTTGATTTGTATTACAACATTGCTTCAATCAAGTTTTGATTTCTTCTTCATATCAATGAAAGTTTGTGAGATTTCTTTCCTTTGAATTTACTTCAATTGTAATTTTCTTTAATGCTTGAATGTTTGATTTGGATTTTTATTTAGGTTTGAGAATTTGTTGATTGATTGATTTTCATTTTGATTTAGCTTGAAATGAATATGTTTGTGATTGAATTTTCATTTTGTCTTTCAAGTTCCTACTCATTCCTTTGGGTTTGACCCTTGACTTACCGTATACTTGTATAAGGTTTGTTAAGTGTTTATAAATTTAGTTTGACCAAGGGAGAATTAGATAACGACCTAGTTTTCCTCTTGTAAGTTTTGAGGGATTTTTTTGTTATTGTTGTTGTTGTTGTTGTTGTTGTTGTTGTGTGCGTGAAGGAGGAGAAGAGAGTGTGAGGGTTTTTATTTTTGTTTTCACGTGAAAAAAGAGGAGGGTGAGGGCTATTTTATTTTGGTTTTAGTTCTCTAATTCTATTAGGAGTAGAATTTGGGTAGTTTGGCCTTGAATGGGAATCAACTTTGGGCCAATATACTTAAAAAGGGAGTTATAATTAGACTAAAACTTAATAGTTTAGTAAAATCTTATTACTTTTACATTAATAACTCATACTTATAAAACTAAGATTAAAATATTTGTATAAATAATAAATAATTATATTAGAAAAATATGGGGGATTACAATCTACCCCTCTTAAAAGAAGTTTCACCCTCAAAACTTAACCTAAAAACCATAAATTCTCCAAAACTGTTCAAACTTTTATGTTTTGTATTGCTGTAAATTGTTTGATCCTCAACATGTGTACTCAACAAACTGAACTTTATACTCAATGAACTCATACTTTGCTAGAGTTTACATACTTTTATTATATGTAAACACAATAATAATGCATAATAATAAGCAAAAACATGCAAAATCAAGCAATAAATGGTATAATTGAGGTAAAAGCATGAAATTACATCGCATTCTACCCCCCTAGAAGAAAAGAGTTAAGCCCTCGTGACTCACCTCGTCAAATAACTCGGGATACTTATTCCTGATCTCTTCCTCGGCCTCCCAAGTAGCCTCTTTGTACTCTTTGTTCGACCAAAGGACCTTCACTATCTTCACAACTCTGGTTCTAGTACTACGCACCTTGTGATCTAGGTTTTTAACTGGTCTTTCTTCATAAGTTAGAGACTCATCTAGTTGAATAGTCTCTGGTTGCAAAACATGGGTTTCACTAGGCACACACTTCTTTAATTGGGAAATGTGTAACACATCATGCATTTTCTCGAATTCCATTGGCAAAGCCAATTTATAGGCCACTTTCCCCACAAGTTGGAGAATTTCATACAGACCCACATACTTTGCACTAAGCTTCTATTTCTTGCCGAATCGTATCACACCTTTTGTTGGAGAAACCTTTAGAAAGACCTTGTCCCCAACTCTAAACTCATCATCCCTTCTCTTCAAGTCGGCATAACTCTTCTGTCAATCTTGTGTTGCTTTGATCCGTGAGTGAATCAGTCTCACCTTGCTAACCATGTCTTCAATAAACTCTGTTCCCAAAGTAATCCGTTCACTATAATCATTCCATTACATTAGGCTTCTGCATTTCCTTCCATACAATGCTTCAAAAGGTGCCATCTTGACGCTTGTATAGTAACTGTTATTGTAGGAAAATTCGATCAAAAGTAGGTGATCCTCCTAATTCCCTTGGAAATCTAAAGCACAAGCTCACATCATATCCTCCATGGTTTGGTTTGTTTTCTCAGTTTGACCATCTGTTGCAGGATGAAAGGTAGTAATCATCTTCAATGCTGTTCCAAGGTTCTCTTGCACTTTTTTTCCAAAACTTTGATAGAAACCTTGAATCTCTATCCGACACTATGTCCTTGGGAACTCCATGCAAATAAACTACATTCTTCACATAGACACTTGCTAGATGCTTCTTTTTCCAGGTCTCTTTGATAGGAATGAACATCGCTGGCTTAGTAAGTATGTCTATAATCACCCAAATCGTGTCATTCCCACTACGAGTCTTTGGTAAGCCTATCACAAAGTCCATGGATATAGAACCCATTTCTAACATGGTATTTCTAATGGTTGAACCTTTCCCATGGGTATTTTTTAGTCTATCTTCACCTTCTGGCACGTCAGACACTTTGTTACAAACTCAGCAACCTCTCTCTTCATATTCGGCCACCAATAGAATTCTTTCAAGTCCTTATACAACTTATCTCCTCAGGGTGAATTGAATATGGTGTATTATGGCACTCCTCCATGATTTTTCTTTTTATATCCTCACACTTTTGTTGTATACACCATCTCTTCTGGTATCTCAGACTCCCGTCTTCATGAATCTTGAATTCAGTCTCTGCACCACTAGTTACTCGATCTCTGATTTTTTGCAACAACTCATCTGCCAACTGCTTCACCTTAATCTCTTCAAATATAGATGGTTGGATTGTTAGGGCACTCAGAAATCCCTCTAACTCTCCTTGATTAACAACCTCAAGGTTTAATCTTCTCATATCCTCACACAACTCATTGGCCATAATTGAAGCATTGACATTATGGCTTGACTTTCTGCTAAGAGCATCTGCAACAACATTTGTCTTTCCCTCGTGATACTAGATGTGGACATGGTAGTCTGTGAGAAACTCTAGCCATCGACGTTGCCGCATATTCAAGTGGTCTTGGGTGAAAATGTACTTCAGACTTTTATGATATGTGAAGATCTTACAAGAGACGCCGTAAAGGTAGTGTCTCCAAATCTTCAAGGCGAACACAAGAGCTGAAAGTTCCAAGTCGTGCGTAGGATAATTGACCTCATGTGACATCAGTTGTCTCGATGCATACGCGATCACCCTTCCATTTTGCTATAGGACACATCCTAAACCACGCTTCAAGGTGTAAGGAGGGGGTTCCTATTGTAAGGGGTCCTCTACTTAAATGCCCATGGCCACTTAAAAGCCTGGGACTTTACACTTGTTAGGGTGTAGTAAGATTTGAATTCTTGACTTTTTGGGAGACCTTGAATTAGAAGTGATTCTATCATTACACTTTTTTGTAAGAAACAACCAGGGAGTCGCCAATGAGTTTTAAGAAAACTCATAAACCTCGTTCATGCCTTTCTTCCATGTGGAGTTCATGGATGATTAGCACAAATCATAAGTTTACCCATGCCCAAATTGGTCTATAAACCAGAAATGAGTTCGAGAGAGAGGGTACTAAAATAACGTTCCCTTTAGAGGGGAATCGTTATCCTAGCCCTAGTGCGACCTCTCTTAGCTCTTCCTTTTTTTACAATTTCATCACCAAACAATATATGCAACGCGATACCTAAAACAATATATCGTAATGTCGTTATTATTATATAATCAAACTCGCGAAAAGGACAAGAAAATAAATAATATTCGCCTTGGCTTAAGTGATCAACCAACAATTATTTAATTCAATTTTAATCTTTATTTAACGCAAGATACTATGTGGAATTGATTAATTAATTATTTTAAAGGTGATCAAACAACACTAATTAATTAATTAAGATTCATTTAAACAAGAAAATAAATGTGATTTAACTAAGTGCTCGGGAATTTACCACTTCTCTTTGCTAGATCTCCGTTTAGAATACTTATGGACTCCTTCTTGTTAGGGAACCTCCACCGTAGTAACAAAATATCAAAAGGGGTGAGTGTTTAGAACAAGAGGGGCTAGGTTGCACAAGTTCACAAGTATTTCGCCAGAGTTTTAGGTTATTTTCTGTCTGTTTAAGCCTCGATTTAAGCTCTTATTTCTACCGCAGCAGGTGTCGAGCAAAACAGGATGAGTTGCGTGCGGCATCCCTGCGCAAGTAATTGGGTTGCGCTGCTATGGGCAGTGCAACTAATTGTCTTGTGCGCGGCTTTATGGTAAGATTCTATTTTATATTTTCCGTATAATTCTGAATCTTTCGCAGCGCAACTTTGGAGGTTGCGCTGGGTGTCGCGCGCAACTGAATTAGTTGTGTGCGGCAGCCCAGCGCGACTGTTTGAGATGCGCACGACTTTTTCTACGGCAACACTAAGATTTAACCTTGGCGAGCCTAAATCCGTCATTATTGGGTTTTAAGCACGGGCTTAAGACTAATTATGATCGGTTTTAGTTAATTGGACCTTTATTTTGGCTTTTATCTTTAATTTGGGCTACTCTTTTGTGTTTTGTAGCTTCACTAGTCCTCCATAAGTATTCTTCACTTTGATCCAACACGAAGATGGTTTTATTTATCGTCATTGCACTTCCTGTCGGGACAGGAGGCTAAAAGTAGATGTCTACATTTAGCCCCCACTTTGGTCGAGTCTAGAATAGATGATGATCAAAGTAGTCAAGGAAATAAATCTGAGACTCATTCTGCGAAGTTCTCTGAGGATAGAGAATCTTTCAGTAATGTTTAAGGATGTTGAAACAATCCTTGGTTCTCTAAGTGTTTGAAACAAGTAGCTATTAAGGCTAGAAAAAGTTTTTCCTAGTCTTAACGCACTAAAGAAACTAGATTGATCCTTTGCAATTGTAAAACGCTTTTACAAGTAAAGGTGTTCTGGGTGATGTCAATTCATGAGAAGAGATCGGTTTTAAAAGGATAAAAGGGGAAGATTTCCTCTCAATCGTGTCATTGTTGGTCTAAAGTCCCTCGATATGTCATTGAAACTTTAGCCTGACTTTAACAAAGTAAAAAGATGAAAATGGGTTTTCGGTATTCGAGCCAAAATGGTCTGGTTATTCGAGCCGGATGTCCACAAGATAGAAATACATGTCTCAAGACTGGAGGCATATATCTAAATCCAGTTTTTTTCCACAAGATGAGTACACGTGTCTCAGGACAGGGGGCGTAACTCAGTGGGTCGCGCTGGCCAGACGCGTGCATCATTCTGAGTTGCGCTGGTACGTCACGCGCAACAGATTCAGTTGCGCGCGACATTTATGTCAGTAAAGTGAAATCGCTGAGCGCAATTTTCACTTCACTCTTTCTTTCTCCTTCCTTCACCATTTTCTCCCCTTTCTCTCACTAGGAAGCTTGGATTTTTGCGATTTTCGAAGCTAAAGGAAGCAAATTTCGTCCTTAATTCATATTTTTCGTAATCCAATGTAAGTTTTTTGCTAGAATTTGTTCTTTTATTCCCGGTTGAATTTGAACGATTTTCGAATTGTTAAACCCTAAATTTCGAATTTGGGCGTTTTCGATTCAGTCCATTATTCTTGAAATTGTTTGTTCTATGTTGTCATGCTATGTTTAAGGAGTGTTTTGCAACAAATATCATGAAACATGGTTAAGTATTGAACCTTGTATGAGCATTTCTTTGTTCAGGTTCGTTCTTGCTCTTTTCCTTCGAATTTTGCTTGATTTTATTGCTTTCTTTCTCATTTTGGTTATAATCGCTGATTATGAAGTAGATTATAGTGATGCAACCAATATTACTTTCATAATTCATTTTCACGAATTTTGAATTGTAGGAAAATGCGCGAAACATACTCTTAGCTTATTCTTGCCATGTTCAAATTTCAAAATTATTTGGTAGACAATAACCATGTTTATATTACTGTTATTCGTCTAGAATTAGTTGATTCTTTGAGATATTTGAAATACAATCCCTTGAATACTTAGTCGGAAGAGGATGACCCGTCCTCGAGAGGAGGTTTGAGAGCGACGCGTCGCGGCCGATCGACGTCGCCAGGAGGATGTGGTTTGGGAGGCTCCTCCCAACTGGGACCCTAGGGTCTTTAAGTGGGATCCAGACCATCATGTTTTGATAAGAGGGTGGCACGACATTATGAGTTTTTTGTGCCTTTATTTCTTTCTATTTTCCTTTGCTTCTTCTTTCTAAACCATAATCGTTTTTTTTTTTATTCTTTTATTTAGAGTGAGCCTTGCATGCGTTTATATGACTCTATTGACCCGCGAGCCCGTTTTGAGAGTTTGCCTGAGGTGGGAAAGGAGATTGTAGCACTTTCTGGGATTGACTCACAGCTCGCGGCTCTTCGGGATTTATCGAGTCAACATGCATCGTCAGCTTTCCTCCGTGGATTGTTGGAGTTTTGGTGGGATTCCACCAACACTTTCCACTTTCCACTTTCCATGGGGAGAGATGACGTTTACCCTTTTCGATTTCTCTATGATTACGGGTTTTCCTTTTGGAGGCGAGCCCGTGGTCATGGAGTTCGTTAAGGGTCATACGAGAGACCGCGCGACCTTGTGGGGGACCGTCTTGTGTCGGCCCTTCACGTGTATGCGCAGTCTTGTCCGTACTCGGTTCTTGCCGACGAGTTGTTAGCTGACGAGCTTGATCCGTAGTGTACACCTGAGCAGCTGGCTTTGATATACATTGCTCACGTTCTTTTCGTCACCATCATGAGTGATCGAGGAGAGCGTTTCACCATTGGGTTACTTATTTGCCTCAGCGATTTGGGGCAAGTAGGTGACCTGAGTTGGGCGGAGGTGTCGTATGCCCGTATGCTTACAGTTATGGGCAAGGCGACTCGGGTGATGAATTTTGCGGCAGCTACTAAGGTGCCTCGGATCTCCCTTACGTTGCATGGTCGTAACCTTGAGGTACCTGTTTTAAGCTTCTTTCGGTTATTGCTTTCGCCTTTTCCTTTAGGCTTATCTTTTCTCGATTTCAGGCTTGGGGATACTCGTACCCGCCTTTCTTAGCCCCCAAGATGCTTGGGGCTGCTCGTTTTCCTATTGTCCATCGATTAGTCTCGATTAAGAAGAAACGAGCCACTTCTGCCGGCGACTTTCGCCAAAGGATCCTTTCGGCAACTCCTGCTCGTTTTTATTTTGTTTATTTTCTAACGATTTTTCATGTGGTTGTGTTTTATAGATCGATCTTCGTCCTTGGAGTTTGATCGTTGGAGTCCCAGAGATTATACTGTCTGGCATGATTCGTTTCCGTTTTCGGGCCCTCTATCCTGGAATCTCGGTGCTCCAGAGGACAGAAGCTAGGTTTTTTGGCGAGCGTGTTCTCTGGCAGCTTTCGTCCGAGGAGCCTTCGGTTCCTACGCATCCTCCGATCCGGATGTTACGTTCGAACTTGCCTTCTACCGAGGATCGAGCTCAGGCGATCCTTGGTTATCCAACGGAGCAGCTGGTGCTGCTAGAGGTTTCTTATCCAACTTTTATAGCTTCCAGGCTAACTCCTTTTCCGGCTTTTGTTCTGTTTAGTACTCTAACTCTTTTCCTCGTTTTTGTTTATTTTTTGGAACTTTGACCCTTTTATCATTTTTTGTCATGTATATTTTAGCGGGTCGAGCTAGGTGGTTGGGTGCCTCCTACAACGGAGATCACGTATACCGATGCTGTCGGATCGGTAATTCGTGAGACCCTTCCAGTAGCGGATGATAATGAGGGGATACCGTTTGTACTTGAGACGGTATGTCTTTTGTGTATATGTATTTAAACATTTCGATTTATTTTTTGTTTCATATACATTTGTTTACTAACTATCCTTGTATTCTTGGAACAGGTTCCGCGGAAAACCGTGAACGACATGGTGAGGACTTTACGTGCTTTCCAAGC